TCCTTGAAATTGAAATAATTAAAAATTATTAACTTCATTTCAACCGTTGTCATATTTACTTTTATTTATTACGATTTTATTCATCTTTTCGACCATTTTGAACTGTTCGGAATAAGTTCAAAACTTTAATGTCTTTTCAATGTTCAACTGTCTTCATGTCTTTTGTCGCTTCCAAGCCATTTTCCGCTGTTTTATCTACAGCCCAGCGCTGAGTACTGAGTACGTATATTTCTTTTGATATTGTTACCCCTTTCATTCCACAATTTTTATTTGCATTTAATTAATTAATTTATGGAATTTTCTTTTCATAAAAAATGTATATAGAAAATAATAATACAGCGCACTAAATAATCAGGCGTACGAAATGGCGACAAAGAAGTTCGCTTCCGGCAAACTTTTTGACCGCTGTGTAAAAGTGTAAAAAGTTGAACATTTCAGCTCAGCTCCGCTCGGCTCAGCAAGTGGAAATGGCAACACTGAAGTGTACATTAACTTAATTTTTTTAATTGAGTAAAAATGTGGTTGATAATAAAATAAAAAAGTATAAATAATAGAAAACAATAGCGAAAATGAAAATGAAAATGTGAAATATAAACGAAAATGGTAGACACCTGTGGAAATTTGTATCTCGAACGAAGGCGACTCACACACACACCCACACACAAATCTACATAATTAAGAAATATGAATTTTAAAATTGTGGCAACTACTTTTGCAGCGCTTATATTTGGTGCAACTAATTGGAATATATTGCACTTATTAAAGGTTTTGAAGTAGATGTTTCTTTTAACTCTTTTTAACTCTTCTTTTTAATACCAGTAGTTTACGAATAATTCAATACAATTTAAACAGGAAACAAAATTAGTTTTAATTAATCTATTCACAGAGACAGCTTACATTATTCAATTATTGGAATAATTGATGGAATAATCATTATTAACTACCAAAACTTCTTTCAAGGCATATTTTCGATTGTCTTTTGTAATAGGAATTCGCATACACATCTATGCAGCAGTTATATTTCATGGATCCTACAATTATTGTTGGCCCACGAATTTTATTTATTTATAAATAAATGTATAATGAATCTCTGTAAATCAATATTTGAAAGAGAAAATATTACATAGTGAACTTAAGATCTATCGAGTCCCTGCTTGAACTTAGTGTAAATTACTAAGTCCTATCTCTTTGATAAATAATGATAAAGTCTTAGATTGTGCATCCACTCTCGTGTTTGTATTAGTGCAGAGCACCTCTCTAGCATATGCTGCACGGTATTTTTCTCCTGTTCGCAGAACCTGCGTATTTCATTGAAGACGATTCCTGGTTTATTTAACTTAATCACAACGACAATATCCTACCAGAATTTTCAAATTGTTTTTCGTTAATTTCAGATTATATATATTAATTTAATAATAATGTCTTAGATTCCACCTAAAACTTTCTTTTGTGTTTGTATTAGTGCAGAGCACCTTCCCAGCATGTGCTTCGTGGTTTTCTTCTTCAGTTTGCAGAACCTGCAAATTACATTGGATACGATTCCTGGTTTATTTAACTTAATCACAATGACAGTTTCCTACCAGAATTCTCAAATTGAAATTTTCGTTAATTTCAGATTATTTATATTAATTTAAGTTGCCTTGTATCTTCGGCTCAATGGCTCTTGCCACAGGCTCACTAATCAGTGTTTGAGAGATCTATGTACCAGGTTACCATGTTCTGATTTGTTTTGCAAATTTTTACATATGTATGCTCTCACACATATTTGTTACTAGGTTTAAATGCATCATATCCCTTCAGCATTGATAATTCATAAAATTATTTCCTAACTTCTCACAAATCTCAAACTTTTTATAATTTAGGTGATTGTAACAGAGTAATAATAGACCATTTGTATTATTAGTTCACTCTCTATCACAAATTCACTTTTTTTTTCTATCTGGAAGGAAAGTAGAAAAGTATTGGGTTTTATCATGACAATGTTAGGTAACACACAAAACTCGTAACTCTTCAAAAATAGAGAATTTTTGACTAAATAAATTTGATTTCAAAAGAAATGTTTTAATATTGAATTTTACGTGACGAAAATTTTTTGTCTCAACTCAATATAAACTTTTTTTATATATCTGTCCCTTACTCACATTGATAATAGAATAATAAAAAATGAAAGGGAAAATAAGTACTGATATAATATTAATATGTATTAAGATGTGTCCATCATATATAACACAATATGTCATTTTAATATTATTATTTGTCATTATGGATACAGCTCATGGATACCCACTGCAAATCTTCTTGTACAGAAGACTCTTTTTAATAAACTTGAATTGAATTACTTCATATTCTTAAGCAATACCTACATACAAATCGCATAAAAGGGCTTTATAAACTATATATAAAGTACATATACTATATAGATAGGTAGCCGACAGACGGCTAAAACGCCGTCTGAAGCTGTAAGCTTCATATATATAATATAATTGTTATAAATTTCTATGAAATGCAACAAAATTAAAATATAGAAAAATAAGGCTAAAATACTACTACTACTACTAGATAATTTAATAATTTTTTTATAATCATGAGATTTTCTTAAAAATACAAAAAAGTGTATGAAAGAGGTTTTTTGTCTTTGTTTTAATTTTAATTCAAATGCTTTAGATTTCATTAAGAGACAGATCCATATTTCAGTTTGTTTAAGCGCCCAACATAAATCAGTGCATTTTCCCGGTTTTTTGTTTTATAGCACGTCCTGAAAAAACAAATCCCCTGTCAATTGTTTACCACCAGCTCTTTCAAACGCGGCTGACATTTATCTAACGCTAACCTTTCGCTGAAATATAACAAGTCAAACTGGCAGATAAAATATGTAGCATTTTTTTTTTGGCTCTCGATACAGTGTTTCGGTTAAACCGCTTTTAACTGCGGTGTACCGCAAAAACATTAAAAGCGTAAACCTTTTCAGTGTAAACAAAAACTGCATCGTGTGAAAAAAGGTCAATTTCGAAATCAAAACATTGAGAAAAAAGCGAATATTTGTATGCCAAAGGACCAATAAAAAAGCTAAAAAAGGAGCAAAACTACAAAAAGCACACAGTAGTAAACAATATTTGTAAATTGTTTGGCAAATCGCACGTTTACAAGCTACTAAGTCGTCCTGTTTGTTTTTGTTGGCAGTGTTGTTGTTAGTGTTGTTGTTGTTGGATATATAACATGCAATCCTTTGGTTGACTTGGTTGGTTAGTTATTTTACCGATGAGAAACGTGCCGATGCATAATCATCGAAGCTATTATCATTTATTTTCCAAAGTATATTCACACACACAGGACGCACAGGGGCAGCTACTGTATTTGCACCTGTGCACCAGTGAAAACTAAGCTCAAAATAATTGTATTATCTTAAAGGTTTCAGTTTAGAAATTTATCCAATTTTTGAATTTTTAACAATTAATTTATTTTTTGTAATAATTTTCTTTATTTATTTATTAAACTAAATACTGAATATAAATTATTGTTTTGAATAGAGAGGTTTTTATCGAACAGTAGTGTAAGTGCAACAACAAAAATTTTTATTATTATTTTATTATTATTTCTATTATTATACATTCATTTATATATTTTTGAAATTAATAAACTTTAGTGTTTTTGTTAAAATTAAAAAAAAATATAATTTTTAAAAATGTTATCATTTTTTCCTCCAAGGTTTGTCAGTTTATTTGGCATGAAATCTGTCTCTAAGTCTTTAAATTTGCTGAATATTGATAGAGTAGGTCTAAAAAAATAACAAAACTCTTATTCTCTAAATAGGTGTGAATGCATCCAATTTTCATAAATTAATAAAATCAGAAATGCAGAAATGCTGTCATAAGTATTCATTTATATTATTAAATTTTGAATATATTTCTCTACCCATTTTTTAATAATGTTTTTTCTATGTTTTTTATCCGGCTTAGGTCACTTTTTGTTAAAATTAAAATTCAACGATTGTTAAATATTTTTTAATATATTCTATATTTCGACTATGCTTGAGTCATCATCAGGTTTAGAATCTTACATGAATCAATATTAATAAAATCTATATCTAAATATCATCTTCATTCTATTGTCTGTATTGCACTCATATTATTTGTAAAACTATAAATAAGAAAGTCTGTATTTTAAAGATACTTTAACATAGAATAATTCTTCTTTGAAATCTTTTTACGCTATACCCATTTGAATTGGCTTATTTAAACAAAATTAGTAAAATTTGTTGGATTTGGATCTAATAAATAGTTGCAAGACCACTTATGATGGATATTTGACAATACTCGCAATAACTATATGGTTAATCAAAATTCAATTAATTAATAATAATAAAATTTTGTTGTTGCAATTCACTATTGTTCGAAACACCTCTATATTTTTCTAATGAATATTCTATTATGAAAAATTGTTGAATTGAGTATTAAACTCGGTGAGTTAAATATTGAACTTGGTGAGCCCAATGATCTGATTGTATTCCCAAAAAAGGCTGTTTCCTTCTTAATCCCTTTGTTGAATGTAACAACTTGTGTGGGTGCATAATCTTTAATCGCTTTGATTGACTTTGATTTTCACTAATATAAACATTTAATAAACACTCACTGAACAATTTTTTGATAATGGTGCACATCTTGCTATAGGAGATTGTTTCCTATGATTAGAACATAAGGTCGGTAGTTCCAGTCCGTGTTATAGGCAGCGCTTAAATCAATAAATGCCACGCCGGTTTTTGCTCAATTTCTATAAATTAAGTTATATATACGGATTATTAAGTGCAGCTACATTTGTTTCCCTAAGAACCTGTTGCTTTATGCAAGCCAATAGCCTTAAAAATTTACAATTAGCCTTCCAGCACACACGTCGTTCATATTTATAACGACCAGAAACTAATTTCATTATGTGAAAGACCAGTTCTATTGAGATCTAAAGTTACTCTGGCAATTGAAATTTGGATATCTTTAATGCTGATATCAATGAGAGGTCTTCCAAAACGTGGAAGGTTTGCAAACAAATATTGTTTGAAAAAGATAGATTTTACTACGGTTCAAATTATCTCATTTTTTAAATAAATTTTTTACATATTTTCAAGTAATTATTAAATTGATAGACGTACAATGAGTTGCAATTATATTTACAACAATGGATATAATTGTCCAACCAATATCATCCGTTCATAGTGTACATCTGTTAAATTCACAATAGTGAAATTGCAAAAACGAAAATAATAACAAAAATTTGTTGTTGCAATTTCACTAACTTTCAATTGAAAACAATAGTTTATGTTAAGAATTTAGTTTCTTTCATCAAAACAGATGTTAAAAATTAATCAATTCCCATAAATATCTCTACAGAGTTTCATTCGATGAGTTCAAAATTTCAATACTAGTTTTCTTATAGATGGACAGGAGAAGATTGCTAGGTCAATTCGTCTTTTCGAACTGATCAACAAAATATATACAGTTTAATATGTTGGCATATAATATCTTGTGATCGAAAAAGAACTTATTCGTTCTTTTTTTGAATTCCCGCGCTTATCCAATCGGTAAATTTTTTTTTTCACGCTGGTAACACTATTATATACATTCTGTCAAAGGTTAACGCATATCGTAGGATTAGTTTTTGTTTGACGTCTATACAAAGAAGTCGAAAAATTTTCGTGTGGCGATTCTTAACTGAATTTCATTCAAAAAAAGCGTCGTTGTGATGTGGCCAAAGAGATGATTTCCAACGCAAATAGTGACCCCACATTCATCGAACGCATCATAACTGGTGATGAGACATGGGTCTACAAATTTGACATGCCCACCAAACAACAAACGACCGAATGGTGCTTCGAAGATGAGCCGAAACCGAAAAGAAAACGCCAAAGTCGGTCCAAAATCAAGGTTATGCTGACTGTTTTCTTCGATATTCATGGTGTGGTGCACTATGAATTCCTTCCGGACAGTGAAACGGTCAATAAGGAGTATTATTTTGCCGTTATGCGTCGTTTACGCCATTCGCAAAAAGAGCCCAGATTTATGGAAGGAAAACTCATGGATTTTACACCACGATAACGCACCGGCTCACACAGCGTTGGTTGTGTAGCAATTTTTAGCCAAAAACTCCACCAATATCATCAATCAAGCACCGTACTCTCCAGATATGGCCCCGTGTGACTTTTTCCTCTTCCCCCGACTCAAATTGCCATTGCGAAGAACGCGTTTGGGACCATAGAGGCCATAAAAGAGAATTCGCTGCGTGAACTAAAGGCCATACCTTCGATGGCCTATAAAACTTGTATGGAAAATTGGGTCAAGCGTTGGCATGCGTGTATTGCCGCAGGAGAAGAGTACTTTGAAGCCGTTAATAAAGAAAATTATTAAAAATTAAAATTTTGCGTTTTATTTTTAAATTCTCGTTTTTTTTTTATCATAAGGTATACCACTATTTTTTTTGAATGATATTGACATATAACAATCAATCATCTAATGACTTTCTGATTGATTTACATTTTTGTTTTTATAATTTGATTAATTTTAATTTCTTCTCTTCTTTACCTTTATATGAGAGATATGTTGAGTAAACATTTGTTAAGCAAACTTTATATATGATATACTTAACTTTATTAATTGTATAAAAACATTCAAAAAAATCTAATTATACTTAAAAATGATACTTATCAGAAAACAAACAGTAAAAAATCAGTAACCGAAAACGCAGTGATAATCCATTTCCTTTACAATTCTTTAGAGGCACAACAGTGGTTATATTATATATACCTATATCCAACTGTACTTTCCTATGTAAATATCCACTCATTATGTGCACTTGCCGCAGGATAATAAGTTGCTTTTATTTTAAGCTAATAATTTTAATTTTATTCAAAATTATGTGCTACAGTGTATATTACAACAAAAAAAAAAAAAAGCAACCTCAGAACATATATGCATATACGCAAAAAAAAGGACATTCACCAGCTTATAAAATTTATTTGTATCTAAAAGGACATTAATTCCACGCAGTCCAGTCCACAGAAACCAAAAGTGCATTTGTACGATATTTTTTTCTATCTAAACTTACTTGCGGCCCACGTTAGCATTTTAGTTGCGAGTAATTTTTTCTATTAGAAAAAAATTTGAATATGCAATATTGTTCCAAAAGGAAAAAAAGAAATATGCTTTTAACAGGGGGGCGTATGAGTGTTGAGTAGATTTCTATCCTTTATTCCCTGCTCTCGTATTTGTGCACTTCTTACTTCTTTCAATATTTTATAATTTCATTTTTTAATCTCTAACCACTAACAATTTTTTTCTAACGAAAACACTTTTTTCTGTGCTCACTTCTCGCAAATCGTATATGTCCTTCTGAGCCATCAGGACATCTTTCATTATGTAAATGCACGATTTACACATTTTTTCCACATTTTTTTTAACATATAAATTTATTTTGTTTTTTGGTTTTTTTTTATTTTTGTGTTTTCGTACAAAAAAGAAATCACGTTTTATTTTACTTTAAAAAAATTGCAAATGGGAGTCTGGGATTTCTGTAACATTTTGCAGTGCCTTTGAACGTGGCATTAAGTGAGGTGGAATTTGTTGCGTGTATATTCGCAACACCAATGCTCTTTATCTGTTTTAAGAGTCGTTTTAAAAATTAAAAGCACGTCCTAAGTCCACATTTGGTCAGTAGCTTTAATGTATTGTGGCAGTGGATTGATGCTACAACCGAACCCAATTGCTGGAGACGTACAAAATGATAGATAAACAAATAAAAAAGTATTATTATTGGAGTGGCCAAAGTCCCTTAAATCTTTTTTTGTTTCTCCTCTCAAAGACGTTAAAAACACATGTTTGCGGTTTTCGCTACATTTTAATAAAAAAAATTCAGTTAGGAATAATAACAAACAATGATATGATGATATGTCTAATTATACATATACCATATATATGAGTAAATTAAATTAGATAATATACATATAGTGAAAACCAATGGTTATATGATACGATAATAGTTGGCATCTTGAAATAAAGAATTTTCAAAAAAAAAAATGTGGTATGTATGATATATACGTTCGTTTATACCAAAAGTATAGAATAATTGGTATATGATAACGCAACCGTCAAAAATTGTAGTTCTGATGAAGTGAAAAATCGAAGATGGATATTATTATAGATAATAATATGAATTTATTTGATAAATTACGTTTTATTTTACTTATATATTAATTGAAGCTTTTGCACACGATATGTAATATAATCAAAGGTTTCTCTTAGTTATTGACGCTATCGGTAATAACATTCAAAACCTGCTAATATTCATTTACATATTACTATCTTAATTAATTAATTGGAAAGACATCCAATTCAAAAACTACTCAGTAAATTGTAAATGAGAAAGAACGGTGAAAAGATTTATTTATTAATCTAAGATAGTCTCTAATAGACTTCCTATTCAAAGAAAGAGTACAGTACATTCTAAACAAAGGTACAATCTCAACAAAAGAGACCATTCTGAGACTAATACCTGACCCTTCTAAAAAATAAATATTGAAATAACTGAACACATTCTGTGTGAATGGTATTAAATGATCATCAGCAGACTTATTCAACTGGACTTCTCGATTCATATGGTATATAGATTAAAATAAAACCGACAAAATGGTCAAGTTCATTAAAACCAAAAAAATTAAAAAATTCAGATCACAAATTAATATAAAAAACATAACACAAATATTAAATTTGAAATAATTCTTACTACCTTTTTTCATCTAACTTGTAAAAAAGGAAGGGAATTGAATAATCCTTTCCGAAGACTCCAATTTTCTAAAAAAAATTATTTTGTTCATTTATTAACCATAGTATTATTAAATTTATAGTATCTCTTTTTATATGATTGCATATTCCTAAAATATAATTTTTTTGTATTTGACATTATTAATATGTAGTTTGTTTAATAATGTTTGTTTAAAAATGAAGTTAACTATATAAATTCGTGTAAAATACATATTTTCTGTATTTAATATAATTTTATTTTGAGCCACACATGTAAAATTGCCTCCTTTTCCGTCCCTTAAATTTGGCAAAAGCTTTAAGGATTAATTATGAAAATTTATATGTTTTAATCTAAACTCAACTAAGCCACAAAAGAACTAATCTCTCCACTAAAACTCAGGCTAATAAAAAATATGTTTTATTTCATTAAATTCTTGGCGCATGTACCTTAATGTACCTTAACCTTAATCCTTTCAGTTTGTTTTTTGAGATTCAAAACATTTGTATTTTTGTATTATTTATATATTCTATTTTATTTATTTTTTTTCTTGCTTATAGAACCTACAATTTGGATACGCAGTTCTTTAACAATAACCCTCAAGTGCAATTGTTACAGTTACGCTGGCATCCAGGCACTCATACGGACTCGATTCTGGTGCTTCTGTTCTCGGACAACACTTTGCGGTAAGTGTTTTCCAGTTTAAATCCGCTTAAAATTTATGTGCTTGTAATTAACTGTAAAACTACATATAGGATTTCAAAGTTTTTTATTTTGCTTATTTCAAGTATAAATAAAATATTTAATAAAAAATTTAATATATTAATTTTTTACTTTATTTCTTTATTAGCGTTTACGATAATGACCGCTTACGTTACATTTGGAGAGTTGGTCCCGAAATAATGAGAAATGAATCCAATAAATCGGCTTCCATGTTGAATGCTGCCATGGGTGAAACAGTAATTGACTTTGACATTGGACCAGCGATAGAAACTGGAGTTACATTTTCTTCGTCCTCTTCTTCTTTTCTACAAGATGACGAAAATGAACTTTCGTTGAAGATAAGCAATTTAAGCATGAACGCGTCAAAGTCCGATACGAAAATTCAAACAGTTCCGGTAAGTAATTATAAAATAATATTATACATAATCTATATATATATTAATACATCACAATAGATAAATTGTTAGTGTTTAGCAACCATGCGATTTAAGCTGCTTATTGGTTAAACGGTTTCAAAAAGGTTGAACTAAATAAGCCAGCAGTGTTGTTGTTTCATATGTTATTTTTAAAATAAGCAGTTGTTCTTTTGTGATATGCTTAATAAGAAAAGGCATATAGTTATATATAGTTATTCATTTTATTGTCTGAAATTAAACACACACAATATATACTAGTTATTAAATTTTTATTTTTATATATTGTTTGAATCTTATATTAGATATAAAGTACGACATGGTACAAATATCCTCCATGGTACTTTTCAAAGTGCTGGATCTTTTGGATATAATTTATGTTTATATATCGATTCATAATTAGCATTAACTCAGCCATAACTTAATGATGCTCGTTTCTAAAGCGTGAAGGTTGTCCACAAAAACATGATCCTTTAGAAAAAATTCAATAGTTACAAAACATATAAAGATATCATATTTTGTGTTGTATGGTAATGTAGAAAAGGACTACCTTATGTGAGTAGTGTTACCATCACTCAAGAACTATAAATAAAGCTTAATATTGTTTTAAAGCATTTGTAATATAATTGTAAAATGATCCACAATGTTTGAGGAGCTAATGAGTTCAATTTATCAATCACCGTAAGACTAAACAAATCAATATTTAATGTACATGATAGCAACGTAGGGAAAGTGTTCCTGTGTATTTGGTGGAACTAGATAATAAGGTTCAAACGTCTGTCGAAATGACTGATTTGAATATCTACTGTCAGTAATTAAACCGGTTGTAGCAAAAACTTTACAAAAATAATATCTGCATTAATTAGTAGTAAAAATGATATAGTCAATTGTGACAACACATTACCATTAGAGTATCACTTGTTTCAATCTATGTCCGATCTCACACTAGCATAAAATTGATCATGAAATAAAAATACGAAAGGTACTTGCATGAGTTTTTTAAAAATAAAACATAAATTCTTAAATAAAGAAATAATAGTTCTAATCGAATATAGTGGCATTAGTATGTGGTTTTAAAATAAAAAAATTTGTTTTCATTTCAATATAAAACTCCAATTACTTTTTGCCCAACCCATAATTTTTATTTTTTGTTCATATATGCAAATAATGAAATCATTAGATTTAACGAAAATTATGTAGTTTCGTAGATTTTCGTCCTTTATTGATATATTTCAAGTAATTGATAGAACGATTTAATTTATTAATAAAGATTAAGTATATCGATATTTTTTCTGAATTAGTACAACTATTATGTTGTTGTTGTAACGCGCTGGGTCCTGCTTGTGACATTACTTTTGGGAAATGTCAAACGGCAATTGAACGTCGCTGGCGACGAGTTCTTCCGGGACGTAAACTGGCCGTTCTTGAAACTTTGTAATAGTAATATATACGCTTCTATTTAACTAACTATTTGTATCAAAATAGGCAATGCACGTGTGATTAAATATTCATAATTAGTTTCTTTTGCATTAAGTAAACATATAGCTTGAATTGGTTGACAACAAAATTTCCACTCATAGACCCCCGTATTCAATACCACTTAAAAATTTACTAATAATGCATTGATTGGATATTCTGACATTTGATTTACACCTATTTGCAGAACATTATAGCATTCTTTATGAATTTAAGGATTGTGACGGTTTCTGCTTAGCTAGTTTCTCCCGTATTTCCCCTTTGGTGCAATCCCAAAGCATTGTCAATATGTTTTTGACAAAATTGAGCATGCACATAGCAAGTCTTCCAAAGTTTCCTTTATTCTTGGTATAGTACATTTCCTGCACACATCTTGTGAGTATGACTATATCCTATTAGTGCACCAATCATTATGGTGACGGCCCTTTCCGGTCAGATGGTTCCTAGATTCTACTTTCGTCTCTTGTATATTTATTATATTGTATTTTTGTTTCTTATTTGTTGGGCTTTTTAAAAATTTAACCGATTCTAAGTCGAGTAGCAACTATAACTCAAAATTATATATGCTATTATATATTTTAATAAGTCCTTTAATTAATTTTGTTTAATGTTTTTTTTTCACAGAAAATACAATGGCCCATCATAATTTTACGTGAAAATGGCAATATCTATATTATGAAAGCTGGTATTAATACAATAAAGTAAAAAACTCATATATATTTTTTAGTAAGAAAAGATACTAATAATTAAATTTTTTTAACATTTTAGACCACGTCTACAAGGTCCAATTACTATGCTCCCTCAGGAAATTGGAAATTATGGCACTGATTCTTGCTCTATTTTATGTATTCCATCTGTTCCACTTACCATAGTTATTGCTGAGAGTAATGGTACTTTGCATCACGCTGTGTTATTGGAAGATGATGAATTGGAGGAAGTATGCGAAATTCAATTTTTCTTTGAAAAACAGTTTCTCATTCCATATATATATATATATTTTCTAGTCTTTTAACGAAGTTGATGCTACTTTAAATGTAGAACCTACAAAATGGTATCTACATGTTTTAGAGACCGTCACTTTAGAGTTGGGTTTACCAAGTGAAGAGATTAACATCACTGAAGAACACCAGTGTCCAATATTCTTAAAAAGGTTATTTTTAATGATTTGAAACTTATAAAATTATTTATCAATTATTTATTATAATTTTATTTTTTTCAAATACATTTTTCAGAGATTCCTGGAATAGTCGTCGTTATTTTGCTTATCACATGGCTGGCTTACACATTATTGACATAAATTGCACAGAAGAAATTAAACGTTTCTTGCAGTCCGAAGGTTTGATTTTAATTTTAAAATATAAAAAGAATTAATTACTTTACATTTGATTTTTTCTTAGATGAGGTTGAATCTGATATTGGTACCCTCCAAGATTCCGATGTCTTATATGTGGTGTGCACTACAGTAGAAACTAATAAAAAGCAAAATCCAATTTTGGGCTTTGTTACTTTTGAGATGCCTTTAGGAGTGGCACTATTATTAGGCAGTAGTCAAGTGATAAGTTTGAAATTACTTCTATCAAACGAGCTAGTGCCCGTACCATTAAAAGACACTAAAAATGATAATGAAAAAAAAGATGTGCCATTGAAATCAAAGTTTAATGAAATGCTCGAAACTTCATTTGAGGAACACATGTCAAAAATTTTACAGCGTACTGTAACGCAACCTATACTGTCGTCAAAAGATACTGATGATCTAAGTTCATTCGATTTATACGAATTATTTGCACAATCAAAGGAAGTGCTTAAAACTGAATATATAAAAAAATTTGAAGTGGTAAGGAAGATATATTTTAGTAGCTGTATTATGATATTGTGTGGAAATTGTCACCTTTTCGAAAATGTGATCCTAGAAAATCAAATTAAGTTTTCATTTTAAAAAATTTTTAAATTTTTCACTGTAGAATATTAATCATGTTTTGATGGAGTTGAATGTAGTCAATTGGTCAATTACTTTTATGATATGAGTACTTATGTATGATAAGCACTTTGCTTTTTAAAAATGATATAAATATATTTATATGTATATAGATACAAGCAACGGTTACGATTTTTAATCTCTGTAAATGTGTCCATTATGTTTTAATAACTTGTAGGTGTAGTTGGCTAATATATTTTCATACTGTTATTTAAAAATTTTAAAAATTACAATAATTCCTTTAATGAACTATATTCTTGTGGAACCATCTTAAATTATGTTTCTGCTGTTGTATTCTCTTATTAGAGGTGTCGGGACTTGACCGTTTGTAATAACGCGTAGATTCAAGAGATAAGCTTAAACCTATTAAGTTGCGCTTCGTAATATAACTTACATTTGAAAGGACTATATAATAATAATGGTTTTTTTTGGCGTCTTTAAACTGACAAAATCATAGTTATAATGAGTATGTATTAAAACATCATAGAGTTATTGATTATTCTTGATCTAATACATAATGATAATATATTATAAATATTATTATTATGAAATTGTTATTGTTTTTTATATTTTTTATTTAGCACAATATATTTCATAGGTTACAGTGTTAGTGTCAGTGTCGTTTTTACAAAAAAAAACCGAATTCGAAACCTAATTCGAACAAATTCGGTTTATTTATTCAGTTGTTTAGCTCTTGATATCATCTTGTACTTTATGGTGTTACCACCACAATTTCTTATCTAAAGTATTTATTTATAAATATATCTATTCTTATGACATCTGTTTTCGTGCCCCAATTCTCACACTTACTTGAGTCCTATTGGCTATATTACACAGAAATGGTAAGATGTCAAAATTATAAATTTATTAACCAAAACTTCCATTGCTACACTCAGTACATCAAAATCGTAACAGTTTCTCAAGTCCATAATAGATTTATAACTGAGAATTATTTTATCAGTTTAAACATTATTTAATCTTCAAATCGTAAAAATTAGTATTTTTGCAACAGAACACACTAAATTACATAAAACTATACTTTCCTTTCTTAATTATGTAACTTCATTGATCTAACTTAGGCTCGCTTCGAAATCTTAAAACGTGTTAAAATTTTGAAATTGCGTAAAGAACTGGAACGTGAAGAGATTGAAAATCTGTTAAGAGAACGTGAAGCTATAAGGGATAAAGCTCATCGCTTGTCGGAACGTTTTGAAGAAATTAATGAAGCCCAAGAAGATATCTCTAAAAAGTATATACAATGCATTTTCAAATATTAAATAATATAATTAATAAACTTATTAATTTTTAGACTTCGAGACTTGATAAAACGATGCTATTCAGATTTACCTGTGAGCACGCTAACAAATTCCGATTTTAAATCACAAGTGGAAAAGATTCGCGATCAAGTAAATGTCTTAAATGAACGTTTACAAAAAGCACGTAATATTTACAATAAACAGAATTATCATGTAAGACATATCGAAACTTATAGAATTTATCTTTATCCTATACTAAACATTTCTTCTCACATATTAGATATCTAAACATATGGAGAGTAAAGATTACAAAGGTATTCAACCATTGCCCGATTGCAAACTGGACACCATAAAGGAAGTGATAACAGATCTGTAAGTTAATTTTTAATGTATATATAAAATAATTAATAATATTTATGGAAGCGGTTTATAAAAGTTTTCTTTTCACGTTTATTTTTACTACAATTGAATTAAAAGTCACTGTTTACCATTGTCAATTGTATTCGAATTATACCGCATTTGCCATATTTTTCTGTTATAACTGAAACTTGCAACTTTTACCAAAGACATTATATATACAATTATCTGTAGAAGCAATCATTTGATATCCTAAGTCAAAGAGCTCAACTTTTAAAACCACATTAATCAAACTGCTATTTAATAATCTTCTACAACTATCAAAAGTTAAATCTTTGTGACAATAATTTCCTTTTTAATCATTGTTAATAAATAAAATGTATGATGCCTTGAATAAGATACATAAAATAGATCAACAGACGTAAGAGATTACAAAATCGTATCATGAATGCCACTTCCAAAATAGTGGATTTTGACCTTCCATTACAAATCTATCAAAGCCTTCTGTCGTTATACCAAACATAGAACAGGTTAACAAACGTAAGAGATCACAAAATCATATCACAAATACCACTTCCCAAATAGTGGATTTTCAACTACCATTAAAAATCTATCTAAACCTTACAAATGAAAACTGGCAGAATAACATCCACAGTCAGAATAATAATAATAATATCAGGACACTTTAATTTTCTCAAATAGAGTTAATGTATACATTCATCTGGTGGTAAAAAAAAATTACACCTATTGCCAAAAAAATATTTAGACACCCTCTTTACCATCTGGACTAAAAAGATTCCCATAAATCTGGCAATTTCAACCTTCCTGTTAAGATCGTCCATAACTTTCAAACCTGAAAACGTGAGTGTCGTAATCGACGTTTTCTTCCTCAGTCAATTAAAGCCGCAAACTATATACTAAAAGGCTTTGCAGGCTTTTTATGTTGCAACCAATTTCTAAATGGGCCTTCATCTAAAATATCTAGGGGATGAGGTAACGTATCTCAACCAATGCTATACAGTTACTTCTCATGTGTATTCACCTAAAGTCACCTATCTGTTTTCGTGCTCCAACCCATACTGTCTTCAGCCTTATTAACTTGTAAGTCCACTCCATCGAACCGTGACTCCTCCTACATATAATTAGCACCCTACACACACAAATATTATCACCCATATCATTATAATTGTCATTATACAAAACATTATTTATAGTGCGTATGATTCGAGAAATCATAAGCACGTCTTCATCAGATGTGAAACCAGTAAAGGTTGTTTTAGCACAAGTTACTTTCATGGGTTTATTTCCGAAGTAGAAAACTACTTAGTATAAAAAAATTGGTATACAAAATGTACGAAGTATATAAAAGTTCAAAAGAATTAAAAGATTATTGTTCAAGAATTATTTATAATAGAATATTACAAATAATGAAATATTAATCATACTAGGCAATGTTTGAAGTATTTTTGAAGTATTCTCTGTGATGTTTTCCTACATAAATATGAAATTATTGAATAGAAAAATGAAAATTAAATAATTAAATTAAGCTAATTTATGGAACTGTCAGTTGTTAAAATAGATGTAAAAATTTTTCAATTCTTTTTATCTAAAATTTAAATTTATCAAATATTTAAAAAGCCATTTAAACAAATATTTATTTGTTTAAAAACTTTTTAAGTTAACTATTTAGCTGAAAACATTTATTAATTATATTCTAGGACAGTTTAAACACTAAGCAATCACATTTGTAAAAACCAGTAACAACAAATTGTTATACTTATTTTAGTACTTTATAACAGTTTCATTAATTATACAGCAAATACTCATGTGTCTCTACTAAACACCTTGTGTTGAGAAATACTTGCTTATAGCAAAGTCAACAACCATTCGAAAATCAAAATAATGGACTATTCTTAACTTAAATATTTTTAGACCATATCCAACATATGGCCTACATATGTATACATTAAGACCGAAAACTTTTCGGAAATTCTCATTTAAAATTCGCGCGCTGTATATTTTTCGATATTTTAAGTTTATGTAGTTTGGCAGCAATTAAGGACAATTACTATGCCAAAAATGAGCGCGATCTGTCAGACAGTTCGTTTACGGCAGCTGTTGAAACCAGTTCACCTCAGTAGGGCGTTGCGAAAAAAACAATGGAAAAAAATATTGAACAAAGAGTTTGCATCAAATTTTGTGTTTCGAACGAAATTTCGTGTGCAGAATCGTTGCGAATGCTACAAAAGGCTTATGGGGAATCAGTTTTATCGAAAACTCAAGTTTATGAGTGGTACAAAGCCTTCCAGGACGGTCGTACGACCGTCGAAGACATTTCGCAACGCACTACTGAGGTGAACTGGTTTCAACAGCTGCCGTAAACGAACTGTCTGACAGATCGCGCTCATTTTTGGCATAGTAATTAAGGACAGTGCTGCCAAACTACATAAACTTAAAATATCGAAAAATATACAGCGCGCGAATTTTAAATGAGAATTTCCGAAAACTTTTCAGTCTTAATGTATATGTGAAGACATTTTCCGTAGTATATATTTATTTTGCATTAAAATCATTAAGTGCGCATTTTTTGTATTTAATAAAGAAAACATTAATCTCATTTTTAAAAGTAAGATATTAAATACGTAAAATTATATTAAATTAATTATTTAAAACAGTACTGCATAGACTTCAGCCTACGTATTCAATTCGGGAAAAACTGTTTAAAAATTCGAATAACGAGAAGTTTTCGTTCATCATTGATTTCATTTTTTTTTCGTAAAAAATAACATTGAAGGATTCACTTTGACTATTACCTCAATTTTAAATCATTTTCTAATTTTCTTGAATTTAGTATATAATTTTTAAAATAAAGATTCGTGAATCTTTTATAATCCTAATTGAAACCAAATGACACCATTTTTCTGATGGCCTCCATATTAAGAGACTACCTCTTGAAAAGTGCAAAAAGCTCTTGCCATTATTTAATCGCACTGACATCATCTCGTTGCGGTAGGTGTGAACGTAGTCATATTACTAAGAAGGAGATTGACTTACTCAAAGTAAAAAAATGGCTCTGCTAACTGTGTCGTCAATCTGTGTAGCACGAGAAAAAAAATAGTTTTGACAGAAACTGACAGAAGTCTCTATGTGTTTTACGTGATTCCCTGCCGTGTAGGCTTAACATCACGTTGCTCAAAAGCAAACGTCTTGATACAAAGTGTCAATAAGTGCCCCCTTGGAGATTAACTTACACAAGTTCCAATGAAGAAATGTGTATAGGTCATAGCTTCCATCTTGGTTTAATGCGAGGCCTACCTAAAACCTCTGCTACAATGTGGGCTGTAGCACCCGGTGGTGAATACGCAACTCCAAGCCGAATGCACCATAATGTTTTTCATTTTTCCCGCGTGAGTTTGGGTATTAACCACAGCCACTTCGAAGCCAATGCTAATTGTCAGTACAGCCGAAGCTACGGGCCACTGACTCCCGAAGTACCAGATCGGATCATCTCTGGTCAGATGACGCAAGTGCCGTGCTCACTCACTATCATACGTACTTCCTATACAAGTATCGGATTGGCACCGGAATTTTAGTCGCCTTCTACGACAAGAATATCTACTGCGGGAATATTGTAAATCGCTTACCCGCAGGGTGCAACCGTAACTAACAGTAGATTGAAATGCAATTCAACTCGTTTGCTTTATATTTGTCCAGCTCTGATTTTACGCTTACTTTTGTATGTGAAATACTTTTAGCCAAATATCCACATCCTATCCCAATATATTCGTCTTGTTATAAACCTTTCATGTTATCTACTATTAGATCCTAACAGGTTACCAAAAACAACAACAGCATAATTTAACAGCTTCCAGCAATTTGAAAATGGTAGTGATTCAAATATTATAATTCTCCAAAGAGCTCAGTCAAAAATACTGAGTACAATTATTGACGCCACATAATACATTAGAAATTAAAGTCATCACCGAGATCTAGAAATTCCCTGAATTTGATAGCGTTAGGAGAAAATATGTATTATTGTTGCTGATAAAGCGATATTTAAATTTTTAGAGAATTTTCGAATAGCAAAGAAAGAAAGAAAAGACAAACACACAAAATTTTATTTTAATTTTTTATTAAAATTTGGCTGATCATACAACGCTGTTTCGAGTATTGCCAAGTACTCTTCATCAGTGGTCTTAGGAAATAATCGAATTTTATTTACTTAGTTTATAGTCTGTATATAATTTTTAGGAGAAAATAAAATAAAAACGTCTGACACACAAAAAATATGTTATTGTCAATTTAGATTTTAAGTAAAATTCTATAATTTTTTGTAAGTGCTGGACGAATTCCTTTGGATTAATAATGAATAAAAACATGACAGAACACGATAATTAGAAATCTTGCAATTACATTAAGTATTTCTTCTTAAAAATGGCCAACCCATTGTCCAGCTATTATTCAGAATTAAGCTACCAGAAAAAAAAGCATTATCTACTTCTTAAGGAATTGTAAAGCATTACTTTTGTTTCTTTTAAAAATAATACATCCCAGAACTTAACCCAGTTTAGTGATTTAAATAAGACCCGGAATATTATGTTTATATATTTTATTTATTTTATTTAAGATTTTAATGTTATGTTAACAATGTTAAGATTTAAAAAAGAACTTATGGTTAGTTTCATTATAAAAGAAGATTCAATCAATAAATACATATAAAATGAAAAGAAAATGGTACAGATTTCTGTCATGTCAATCATAAGCATGGCTCTGACTTCATACGATGAATCCGGAAATTTGTACATGTTAAGATTGAAGAGATTTGATGAAAGAACACACCAATGTAATATATTCCAAGAACAGCCGGGGCTTCACCCAAGAACTAATCGCTTTTAAATTTATACTTTTTGAAATATTATATTCAAAACGTGGTATTATAATAATTTATATAATTTTAATTTTATTCCTCTAATAATACTTTTTTTTCAATAACTGAATAACTATCTGAATATAAGATATTTAAGTAAACCTTTATATAAGTAATTAATTATTCTTTTATTATTTCATTACAGTGCCAAGGATGTTGAATACGAAATTGGAGAAACAAAGTCAATGACTGGTGATTTAGAAGAATGGAAAAGCGAATTGATAAATGTTGAACAAACTACGTGAATATGAACACCAATTGAAATTTATAATATTAAATAATATTCATCAATTTAATGTTTAATAGTTTTTTTTATTATTTCTCATTTGAAAAATATATAATATTAAATTAAAATTTTATGCTTTCGTTTTTTTGCTTGCTTACGTAACTTATTAAATTTTCTTATATGATAAACGATAAATGTTTTTAAATCATCACTTTTAAATGAATTCCACGATATTATTAATAATATAATAGAGTGCATATATAAAAATAGTCTTAAATAATTGGTATCATCTTCTTCGAAATTTTTAAAATTTTGTTGAAAACTTTGCACACATAGCAAGGTCATAATTCGCACAGCTTTTTGTACATCCGACCGACGGCCACGAGACAATAACTCAATAATCGCCTCGTGAGCATAATCCAGTCAATGATCAATTAGCGGACCCCAAAACATTTTTGAGATTTTCGTTTCATCTTCAGTCATAAAGAATTGACGTCCTAAATGTACAAATTCCTTCATTGAAATTTGACCATCACTGTTTTTATCTATCACAGCAAATGAAATGGCGGCATCTTCATCGGAGAGGCCTAAGCAGCGGAAGAAAAGTTTATATTGATCGAGATCCAAATGACCAGAATGATCATAATCGACAGCCTAAAAATAAAAATTAATAGTTTAGATTAAATTTATAAATAAAAATATGTAATATATAGTTACCTTAAATAAATATGGCAAGAATCGTCCAATACGTTTTGCCATTTTCTTATCATTTAGACGATGATGTATATCTGTTAAAAATTGTTCAGCGTTCAGCAAATTATAAGGAGTAATTTCACCAAACTGTTCTTCCCAAGTTTGTTTCATTACATCCTCAAATTCTGCTGATAATTCGGGAGTTAAATGTCCCAAGTCTGTGAAACGCTTTGCTAACAATTTAAAATCGTCGAAGGATACGACACCATCGTGATTAACATCCAAAATTCGGTGCAATGTACGCATCTTGCGGCGCCAAAAATCAGTATCACCCTTTAAATATAAATTAAATGAAATTATTAATTTATTATTCTATTTTATCTTCTACTATAATTTTAATTAGTAAATTTAAGTGTTTTTATTAAATAACTAATATTAATAACGTTATTGTGCAGTGTAATACTTTAAAACTAAATTAAATAAATATGTATTATAAAAATTGGAAAATGAAAACACAGAAATATTCATATATACACATTATATATATTTTTAATATATTTATTAAATTAATTAATTAATTTAATAGGAATATATATTAAATATAGAAATGCTGATGTTATATATAAAAAAAACTTTTAAAATATAAACTAAGTAGAAACTAATCTCTGAATCAATAATAAATAATAATAACAATTTACATAAATAATATAATCTGAAAAAATGATCTGAAGAATCCTAATATATATATATTTAAAAGTAACACTTAAATAATTCACACTGAATCATTATACAGTAACACAATGTGCCTGTAGACCTAAGGAGATCCCTTGAGATCTCTCTCTCTCTCTCTCGCCGGTATAACCAAACCTTACTTAATACACAGTAAATATTAAATAATTGGAAACTGTTCGTTACTTAAATATTTATTAATAAGCAATTTAGATTAGAATATAATGATCCTAAACTATTATTGTAATTTTGTGTTAAACTTCTCAAAAACATTTTAAGTAAATGCTGACATATCTGAACCAGACTTCATATAACAAGACTACATTCTGGAAACCAAATATAATGGTTCACGTGAGCTCTACAAGGCTTACTGTAGTTCTCTCTTATTGCTAATATATAAGAACCCATGAATATGCTTTTTAATACTCATTGAAAAAGTTGTAAAAACACAGTAGAAATAGTTAAGCATATTCTGTGTGACTTTGTAAGCAAACAGATCAAGTATGTGCGAGTACTGAAGTTAAAAAACGGAAGTAAAAGAAATGGAAGTAGATATTGCATACTCTCCGCAAAAATAACATCTATATTGCGAAACAAGCGTTAGTTCTAGTGCCCTCACCAAAATTTGACGAAGAACTATTGAAGGCAAACTGAATAAGATAGGTTATTCGTAGAACGCAATATGCTCCACTGGAAGAAGAGGACTGCAGTACGTGAGTATGTAAAAGAAAGGGGAACAAATGAAAATCTATGACCAAATTATTATTTTATTATAAAAAACTGAACTCTGTTCAAAATTTTTAAAACAAAATAATATCCTGGGAATTAATTTAAAAAAAGATCTTCGCCTCATTGCCTCTTAGCTACTACTCTGATATGTATATACTTTTTGAGAAATCAAAGTATCAAGCAAATTTTTTTTTCTATTTTATGAAGTTCACATATAATTTGAATATTGGCTTTTAATAATGTTTTTTTTATAATTTAATATTTTGTATATTAACTACAATTATTATTTTGTTCTTATGAATGTTATTCACACTATTAAATTAATGTAAAAAATAATGTGAAAAAAGAGAAAAAAGTTAATTGTATAGATTTATTATCAATATTTACTATATGTAATGTCATGTATTATCCATTGTATGCTATATATATAAGCCAGCATTTATTTTATAATTTGAAACACGTTTTCACCACGCTTAAAAAGCTACAAGATTTCGTATTCAGCTCACAAGAAAATAAATTTTTAAATTATTTTGCCAGCTGAGGTGATAATATATTTTGGTACTCCACTTTAAACACAAAAAAAAAAAAATAAATTCGATATACGATTAAGAATTTTTTTTTTTATTCTGATTGCAAATTTATATATACATATATATACAGCTATATACAAAAATATATTATTGTACGTAGAAAGATTAATGTATTTACGTAATTATCAAAAAACAGAATTAAGATTTAAGAACTGATTGGAATATTAAATTAAGCTAAGCTTATAGGAATGTTTTTTAATTAAAAATTTAAACACGATAACATTTTTTTAATTTTGAAAAATTTGACAAACCTATACAATTAAAAACTGTATGTTCTATGACAAGAATTCTATGACAAATTCGAGTAGAGGACAGGTAATGGACAGAAAGAAAAGTTTTCTCTCCTTTCAGATAACACCTTTCTCTCTCTTCAAATAACGAAATACTATCTAAAATGAATACCCAAACTCCCTTTTAACTCCGAAAGCAGAAATTTACTTGAGATATGCACAAAACTTGACACATGACATCTAATAGAAGTTTCTGTAGAAGCTATCAAGTTGAGAACATGGAAGAAAGGATTGGCTACTCGTTGTTACTGGTCTATTCTCTCCAGATAGATAGTCAACTTCTTGAGACATTTTTACTTTGCGGAATAAGCAGATGTGGTTACAGTAGATCAAAAATTGTTAAAGCGTTTATTGGAAAGAAAATTATTCAGAGCAGTGTTGTAACACTTTATTCGTTGTACGCCCCAAGTAAGACTTTAAGTTCGGAAAGGTAAACACATCAATCGATTAGTTAGACATTTTCAAACGACAATCAGAATCTATATCCTCCACATATTCTATAAACAATTTTTATTTCTTGTTCATGTACCACTATATTAGTTCCTAAACAGTAAGACTTCTTGGTCATTCTTATTTAAAAGTTGACTGATTTGTAACTGCTACCTATAACAATCCAATTGTCCATCTGTTAAGTGTTTCCACACATTTTTTAAAGTCTTCAAACACTGGTTTAGTTGCAAAAATCAAGAAAGTACCCTAAGGGGTTCACAACGAAATATAGGACCTATATCATGCCCAATACATTGTGGCCATCATTATAATAATAGTTATTTGATAAATCATTTAGGTATATATATTTTTGAATTGTAAAAAAATAAATCATGCTATCTAGATTATTTTCTAAAGATTATTTTTTAATTGTTTTGCAAAAGATAATGCAAATTTAAATAGAATTGTCGGTACTACATATATCTACTTATATAGACTAATAAATAAATATTATTGAAAAATAATAAAAAATAAATATAATTGTAAAACAATTCAAAACTTACCCTTTCGCTTGTTTTTGGTTGTATATTTTTACGGTTACGTTCGAATTCATCATCAGAATCCGAATCGCTATCACTATCTTCCTCCTGGCGTTTAGTTAAGGAGGAAGCATGTTTCTTAGAATATTTGCGTGTTGCAATTATCAGTGCATTGGAATTATTCTCAATTAGTACCATCGAGTGTTCACATTGCTTTATTATCGATTTTGATGAGGCAGAACGACGATGTCCAGTTCGCTGATGACATAAAACCACAAAATATTAAAAAACCAATAAGAAAAAGTATATTAAACTTCATTCTTTATTGTAAATAAATAATATTATTCTTTATTTGCTTCTTTTTACAAAATGCAATTAATTTTCTGAGTCAATGAGAAAGGCGTACACAAAGAAATCAGTTTAAGGCAAGTCGATTAATTATTTTATATTTTATTTTATGAGTATATATGTATGTAAATATATATATATATATATTATATGTATTTTAAGTCTGTTCGACAAGTTCAAAGCTCTTTTGTGTTCTTAAATATAAAATCGAATGTTGTAGAAATCAAAATCTCAACATTGCAAATCCGAAGTAGATATATTAAATATTATTAATAATTATTGCATTATTTATTTAACGTATAGCGATAATATGATCTTTAGTTATTATATTAAAAATTAAGTGAAAGTATAATCATTTTATAGTAAGTATAATTATAATTTTATCATATTTTTATTTTATATTTTATTTAATTCAACAAAATTTTTATTAAACTCAAGTTATATACTTTGAAAAAATGTAAATAAAAATGTATATAAAAAATGCTATTATATAGCAATCTTCCTGAGACTCCCGTAAGGATATAGTGAATTTCAGTAAAGAAGCACAATGAAACAGCAACCAAATCTTCTGTCATCCTCATCTCCCAGTGGCCTCCTATAATAGGTTTTACTAATTTTCGTATGTGGTCATTGTTCAGTGGAATGGACTAAATCAGTCTTGTCGTACTAGAAGATTTATTTTCCCGTT